CCATTGTATGTCCATGGCTCCTTTATCAAATATTAATTGACCATATATGTTTGGGTTAATGTCTGGAGTCTCTAATCTGTTCCACTGGTCTGTGGGTCTGTTCTTGTGCCAGTACCAAATTGTCTTGATCACTGTGGCTTTATAGTAGAGCTTGAAGTTGGGAAGTGAGATCCCCCCTGCTTTATTCTTCCTTCTAAGGATTGCTTTGGCTATTCAGGGTCTTTTGTGGTTCCATATGAATTTTTGAACTATTTGTTCTAGTTCATTGAAGAATGCTGTTAGTACTTTAATAGGAATTGCGTTGAATCTGTAAATTGCTTTAGGCAGGACGACCATTGTGACAATATTAATTCTTCCTAACCAAGAGCATCAGATGAGTTTCCATTTGTTAGTGTTCTCTTTAATTTCTCCAGTGTCTTGTAGTTTTCAGTGTATAGGTCTTTCACTTCCTTTGTTATGTTTATTCCTAGGTATTTTATTCTTTTTGATGCAGTTGTGAATGAGATTGTTTTCCTGATTTCTCTTTCTGCTAGTTCATCATTAGTGTATAGGAAAGCAATCGATTTCTGTGTATTAATTTTGTATTCTGCAACTTTGCTGTATTCTGATATCAGGTCTAGTAGTTTTGAATGGAGTTTTTAGGGTTTTTTATCTTTAATATCATATCATCTGCAAATAGTGAGAGTTTGACTTCTCTTTACCAATTTGGATGCCTTGTATTTCTTTGTTTTGTCTGATTGCCGTGGCTAGGACCTCCAGTACTATGTTCAGTAACCATGGGGAGAGTGGGCATCCCTATCTTGTTCACAATCTTAGGTGAAAAGCTTTCTTCTCACTGTTAAGTATGATGTTGGCTGTGAGTTTGTCATATATGGCCTTTATTATATTGAGGTACTTGCCCTCTATATCCATTTTGTTGAGAGTTTTTATCATGAGTGGATGCTGAATTTTATCAAATGCTTTTTCAGCATCTATAGAGATGATCATGTAGTTTTGTCCTTCTTTTTCTTTAAGTGGTGGATGATGTTAATGGATTTTCAAATGTACCCTCCTTGCATCCCTGAGATGAATCCCACTTGGTCATGGTGTATGATCCTCTTGATGTATTTTTTAATTTGGTTTTCTAATATTTTGTTGAGTATTTTTGCATCTATGTTCATCAGGGATATTGGTCTGTAGTTTTCTTTTTCTGTGTTGTCTTTGCCTAGTTTTGGTATTAGAGTGATGCTGGCTTCATAGAATGAGTTTGGAAATATTCCCTCCTTTTCTATTTTTTGGAAAACTTTAAAGAGGATGGGTATTATGTCTTCTCTATATTTCTGATAAAATTCTGAGGTGAATTCATCTGGGTTGGAGATTTTGTTCTTAGATAGTTTTTTTATTACAGAATTTGTTTTGTTGTTGGTAATTGGTCTGTTTAGATTTTCTGTTTCTTCTTTTTCAGTCTTGGAAGGTTTTATTTTTCTATGAAGTCCACTCCTTTAGGTTATCCAGCTTGTTAGCATATAGATTTCCATATTATTCTCTAATATTCTTTGTATTTCTGTGTGGTCCCTTGTGATTTTTCCTTTCTAATTTCTGATTCTATTTATGTGTGTAGATTCTCTTTCTCTCTTAAAAATAAGTCTAGCTAGGAGTTTATTTTGTTTATTTTCTCAAAGATCCAGGTCTTGGTTTCAATGCCTTTTTCTATTGTTTTATTCTTCTCAATTTTATTTATTTCTTCTGGTGACTTTGGGCCTCATTTGTTCTTCTTTTCCCAGTTTCAATAATTGTGAGTTTAAACTATTCATTTTGGATTGTTCTTCTTTCTTTGAATAGGCCTGAATTGCTATATACTTTCCTCTTAGAACTGTCTTTGCTGTGTCCCACAGGAGTTGGGGCTTTGTGTTGTTGTCATTTGTCTCCATATCTTGCTTGATCTCTGTTTTAATTTGGTCATTGATCCATTGATTATTTAGGACATGTTGTTAAGCCTCCATTTGTTTGTGAGCCTTTTTGTTTTCTTTCTGCAACTTATTTCTAGTGTTATACCTTTGGGATCTAAGAAGTTGGTTGGTATAATTTCAATCTTTTTGAATTTACTGAGGCTCTTTTTGTAGCCTAGATTTGGTCTATTCTGTAAAATGTTCCATGTGCACTTGAAAAGAATGTGTATCCTG